ACAGACTTTGCGATTAAATGCGCCACTCTGATTTACTAGTAAGGCGGGGTGTTACAGGATCAATGTCCAGGCCTCCGCAATTGGACGGTTTGAACTTCTCATATTCGAAGTCAATGATGACAATCTTTTTGAGATCGCTTGGAAAAGGCGTGTGGGTGAGTGTTGAAAATGGCTGGGACCATCCTGTCATGCAACAAGCACCCGATCAAGGTAAAGAAACAACAACGACAGTCACTTTTTCTAAACCTAAGGACAACTGGACTGATGCTGAGAAGCTTAGAGAAGAAGCCAACTATCGTGCCTTATATGCGATCATGATGGCAGTTGATCAGACAAGACACAAGATGATAGTACATTGCAAAACTGCTAAAGATGCTTGGAGGGTCTTCCAGCGTCAATTTGAAGGTTCAACGGATGTCAAAGCGTCAAGACTACAACGGGTAACTCTTGAATTTGATGAGATCAAAATGAGAGATGAAGAGACAATTGACGTATACTATGCCAGATTTTGTGATCTGGTAAACCAAAGCATGATGCTTGAAGAAGAAATCTCTAAAAAACGTCAAGTCTAGAAGTTTATGAGAACCGTTGTTCCCAGGTTTAGAGAGAAAATCACGGCTCTCAAAAATTTTCAAAGAGTGGTGTCATTGGATGTTGATGAACTTCTTGGAGAGCTCAGAACTTTTGAAATCAACAACAATTATGACAAAGTGAAGAGCAAAGGCTTGGCTCTCAAAGCTGTTGTAGTCGAGGAAAGATAAGAAAGCGATGATGATGAAGATCCGTTGGCAGATGATAGTGAGCTGAAGGAAGCACTAGCCTTAATCGCGCGAAACTATGGGAAGATGAGTCAAAGGCTCTACAAGAACAAATTTGCTGGAAAAATGGGGAACAGTTTCTGTAACACCCCGCTATTTTACTGAAATCAGAGTACGCTTTTTCGCAAATTTTATAAATAAAATAATTAAAATATTTATTTTGCGAAAACTGATTCGGAGTGTTACCGTGAAAATCTGACTTTTCTGAAAACCGTTAATTTTTAAACTGATAATAAAAATAGTTATAAATATATTAACCGACTACTGTCGGGTCAAAAGCTGAATTCAAGTACTAAAAACTGAAGCGGAATAGTAGCGTGGTCAAAACATAACATATACATATAAAACAATTATCCTGAACAGCTCGTCAGCTCACTCCTCGTCCCTGACTCTGTGACCTGAAAAACATGAAATACGTGGGGGCGTGAGCACCAAAACACTATGCTCCACAGAAACTCATACTAAAGTAAAACAGTGAAAATAATAACAATATCATGATCCTGGTATATATATACCTGAACTGATAAGTGATATCTGATACCGGTACTGAATAATCTGATACTGATCTCGTGACATACGTCACC